AATAGCAATCTTATCTTTATTACAGCTTCACAGACATGATAAAAAATAGGTGCTAAAATGGCTAATATTGGCTTGGGGAGGTGATCCGTATTATTGTTTTCTCTTCCATGATCCATGGTACAAGATGATTAATGATGTCCCATTAACTGTGTTGTAGAAAATATCATATAGATATGCATGAAATCATTGCTATTAACTTAAAATCATGTATTTGCACCCCCCTCCCCCATCAAATTAACCACCTATTAAAATTATAACCATGTTATCCTGTTGTGCCAGTACTGAAGTGCATTTGAAAACTACACCCTGCAGAATATGAAGGAGAGCTAAAAGGTAAAATGTGGCAGACAGTTGATGGATTTTCAGCAGGTTAAAGGCACCATGCAGTCCAATTTTTTTAATAGCCAGCTATCTAAAGTTAAATTCAGAGACCAGGTATCTAATCTGCACTGCTAAAAGCAATGTGTTTGTCTCCTCAGGATGTTTCTGGATCCAGATACTAATTTAAATTTACAAGAAGTCCAGATAGGTTGCTCTTGCAGACCAGTTTGACGTCTAGTTCTTTATAGCTGATTATTCTTACTAATCAGTACAATTTATAATTGCTATCAATAGCATTCTTTTTATTCAGTTTTATGAAGCTCCTCTCTGCTTTTCCTATCACTGAGTGTATTGCAAGGCAATACTTACAAAAAAATTACTATTATTTCTTCACAGGAAAGGATCTGCCTATACTGCTGTCATGACAGATTACAACTGCTTTATATTAATTTCTCTGAAAGACTGCAGCAATAACATTGAAGTTGATAGTGGATCTTTTTGTAAGCCTTTTAGGTAATTAGTTATAGTCCTCTAACCAAATTATGCTCCAGACACAGGACTGCACTACGTCCAGCCCAGCTTGTGAGAACATGGGTCATTTTCCTTCTGTGTCTCTACAGTTTAACCAATATCTCCAATGAGATTTTTGATCAGGACTCTATTTTGTGATTTTGACTTCTGTACTAAAATGAATGCTTCACGTCAGTAATCTTAGAACTGGAAACCCGAGAAAGGAGAGATCCATCTAACAAAGATGGTATTACCAAAGAAAGTCAGCATAACCCTGAATAGCCCTGGAGGAGAAACGTGCTCAGATGCTGCTAGTAAGAGGACAAAACACAATTTCTCTTTGACTGTTAAAATCCAGTCTGTTTTGATAAAAGAGTTTGAATTAAGCCTCTCTCACTATTTTCCAACCGTGTAAAAGTAAGTGGGATTTTCTAATCCAGTACTGTTTTGAAAGAAAAGCGTGTGCTGTCCAATGACTCACCTTCATGACTAGTTTTAAGCCAGTGTATCAAACTTAGGGCACCAGTTTTGTCACAATATACCAAACAGGTTCTTTTCTTCTCTGCAAGTAATTCTACCTGTGACTTTTTTTCTAAAGCCTCCTAAAGAGACAGAGATTATCATACTAGGTTAATAAACTCTTAAAATAAATGAAACAGACGTTGTTAAAGTTGTTTCTTAAAATAGTTTGAGTGAATTTATTGGAATTTTCACGAGTATTAATTACAGGCCTAATTAGGATTTAGTTCAACAGGAGCTATGCTTCTAATTTGCTAAAATACTCACTGGAGTGTTCAGATGCAGCCAGCTGCATCTTTAGGCACCTAAACCCATTGAAAAGAGAGCTCTAGCCAGCATTTTCAAGGAAAACAAACTCATGCTGTAATAATATCTTCCACAAAACAAGATGTTGAGTTGACTTTACTGCAAAAAGTATTGATTTTCTTTTCTTGCCAAGTACAAAATAGCAAAGGTCAAAAATAAAGCTCAGGTACAGAGAGTGTGAGGTTACCAAAATGAGGGTTTGGAAACTGCAGGTTTTTCTTTTGTGTATTTGTGTCAGGGTTCAGGGATAAATAAAAGTGTACAAGAGGGTAGATGTTTCACATGCTGTTTTGATACTTCACATGCTAATCTCAGGGAGGAAAAGTTTTTAGATTGAATGGCTAGTAGCATTTATTTCTAATTCAGTTACTAAAAGAATGCACAGGAACCCAAACTTGAAACGCAGTTGGCAACTAGGAAAGGAATTCTGTCAACTTGTAATGTCTCAGTTTGAGCTACTGAATCCAAAAGAACCTGACAGGGGATAACACACACTCTGAAGAACTCAGAGATTATAGTTAAAGCCTGTCTTTTAATGTAGGTCCAGTAAACGCAAATATTTGTATAAGTATTTGACTTGCAGAGCTGGCTGGATCTTGAAATAGTTGTGATATTGTAACAATTCCAGTTATTAAAAGCCATCAAAATGTATTTAGTTCACATTTTGCTGCTTTTACACAGAACGCATAAGAGCACTTGATAACTGCAGCACTGTTATAAATTCAAATACAAAGCAGTAATTGTTGAACAGATAAGAATCTAAGATTTTGGGGCTATGGAAGCTGCAGAACAGTAGGAGGTCACAAGGAGGAAGCAGATACTGCTCTTCAAACTGGAGAGAAAACTGCAGCTGCTTCATTCTTGCAACCAGCAGAGGACAGGTCTGGAAGCCAATGGAGCTTTTCAGCAGCCCATGCCTAAACCAGCATGAACCCTTCCCTTCCCTTCCCTTCCCTTCCCTTCCCTTCCCTTCCCTTCCCTTCCCT